TTAAATCATATTAGGGATCCGACTATAATTTAAGATATATTCCTTAATTAAGGGATCTTGGAGTCTCTGGGTCTCCATCAAGCCCCAAAAAGCTACACAGCTACAATGGCGGCGAGAGGGGAGGGGGGGGGTTGGAAGTAGGGGGGGTGGCGGAGGCAGGAACGACAGAGTCCGAAGCACACGCCTGCAGTGGCTACACAACTTGAACCATGAACCAAAAACATACGGATCCAAGGCTCAAGGAACCCGATATCCACCGACATCAGCTCGACCTGTTCCGCACAACATGTGCGAGGCTTTCAGGTATGGTCGAGGGCATGAGCATTCTGTCAAGTCAGTTCCGGATTCGATTCCAGGTTGCATGTATCTGCTTAATTCTTGTGGCTCGTGGTTCACAGTACGGGGCTTCCAAACCTTCAAGATTCGAAAAGCACGCCCAAAGGCGCCTTCAACCGAAGCACCGTCTGCCCAAAAAACAAATTGAGAGCGAAGGCCTTGCTTGTTTTGGAAGCCACGTGTTTCAAGCAGAGGGTTCGCATCAAGAAGCCAACTGGAGGTTAGATTTGATGTGGCGTCCAAAGCAGTAGTGCTTGTGCTTTCGAACATCGAACCCAAATACCTACCGTCTTATATGCCCAAACCCTTACATTCCAAGCGTACACTCACTACGCCGTCAACCCACAAGCCTTGCTACACCCCAAGTCCTCAACCCGAAACACTGAATCCCAGACTCTGACCTCTAAACACAAACATGCTCCCGAAACCCGAAACTCGTAAACCCTAAGCCCCAACACCCCCCGACTACCAGGGGGTTCTTAAGGGGTCTGGCCAGCCGGCAAGCCCTGAACCCGAAAGTGCAGCTTTTGCTGAAACACCCAATCCTATACTCTAAATCCCAATATACTACCGAATCTCAAAAACCCAATAGACCCTAAACCCGGAACCCTACACCCCGAACCCTAAAATAGCCCTCGACCCTAAGCCCCCTAAGCCCCCCAGTCCCTGAACTACACCCGAAAGTACACCCTATAGGCCCTGATCCCTGAAGTTCTCAGAGCCCATCGTCCGAGCTGCGTCGTCGTCCGCCTTCATCTGCCGGGCGGCGGTGAAGATGAGCGTGCCGTCTGTGCCAGGCGTCGGCTTTACGACTGGGCTCATTTATTAAAGGCTCTTCAGGGATTCTCATAATTAAGGGCTGCTCCTTAAACTCGTAATTCAGGGTTCCAGACTACGAGAAGGTGCGCTATGGCATCGGGTTGAAGACTTGGGGCTCAACTACGAGCAGCTTCTTTCCACACTCCCGCTCGGTCTGGTCCGTGGTGACGCCGAGTTCACTCTGAACTCCAATGCTTTGGCTCGCGTCACAGATCAATTTCGCTCCCGGCGCAATTTTCGAGCATTTTCCCCGAACCCCCCAGGTACCTACTATATAGGGTACTAGAGCCCCTAAGGCCCTATATAGTAGGCACCTGGAGGGTTAGGGTTCCGTGATGCAAACCCTGTCTCGTGCCCACTTTGGCCTGCAGATCGCTCGAAACCGTCCAGCTACTAGCAGGGCCACCGGCTCTTGTGGTCTCGAGATCGAGGCGTTCCAAGTTTAGGGCTTAAAAAGTTCAGGGTGTATAAACCCTTTTCTTTACTGGACTCAAGTCTAGCCAGACTGCTTCCAAGTTTAGGGTTTAGAGTTTAGGGTTTATAAACCTTTTTTTTGTACTGGGCTCAAGTCTAGCCAGACTGCGACCTGCAATCATCTTGACCGAGGCCGACATTGAACCCTAAACCCTAAACTCGAAACCCTAAACCCTAAACTCGAAACCCTAAACTCGAAACCCTAAACTCGAAACTCGAAACCCTAAACTCGAAACCCTAAACCCTAAGCAGTGCCAATCTGCTGGCGCCACAACGCTTTGGAGTCGTAAGGCGTGGTCTTGGGAGCCTCAAGTCAAGGCGCCGTCCCCAGACCTCACAACAACACCCTAAACCCTAAACCCTAAACCCTAAACCCTAAACCCTAAACCCTAAACCCTAAACCCAAGCCCTAAACTACAATCCCGCATCCCGAAACGTCCAAAGCTTGCGTGTCCCACAGCGTTCTAAAGCTCCAGGACTCCACTCTGGGGGTCCCTCCCGGAACCCTGAGCGAACCCTAGTCAAAACCTAAACTCTAGACCCTTAGCCCCAGAAAGTACCAAACGCTACCAAAAAAACCAAACAAAACACATACACAGCACAACCCAAAAGCCCTACGGCCCTACGTAACTGCAGAGGCCTTAATAATTAAGATAGGGTTTCGGGGGCTCCTTATTAAAATTATACTCTAAAGGACCCCAACACCCTATTCTATTTATGAACCACCCCTATAATAATATCCCCACCCTCTGCGTTTTTGGGTGGTGCCCCCGGCACCTTCCACGGCTTGGCCCGAGGTCCAGGCAAGGCGGAAGGAGAGGAAGCCCAAGGCACGGAGTGCCCACCTTTTCTGGGATCTCTTCGGGTTTAGCGGGGTTTCATGGGGGGTGTTTAGGGTGTTATGATCTTTTTTTTGGCTTGGTTTCACGCAGTTTTTTTAGGTTTGGGGGTTTAGGGGGGGTTTATGAGTTAGGGTTTGTATGGTTACTTGGGAATTTGTTTACAGAGCTCATTTGGGGGAGGGGGCTTCGGGGCATCCTGGTATTTTTCAGATTTCATGTTCTGGGTGATTTCCTGTTCAGGGGTACTTATAGCTCTTTCTAAGGGTCCCCCCCCCAACAAGTCTTGCTTTTTTTCGTTGCTTGCTTGAGGCGGTGAGGGTCTAGAGTTTCGAGATTTTAGCTCTTGTAGATTTTCAGACTTAAAGCCCGAAAACCACCGACACAGCCCTGAGACCCCTGCACGAACCTCTGAACCCTAAACCCAACCCTTAAATGAACCTCCATAGAACCCTCTACACCCAAACCCAACCCTTAAAGGAACCTTCATAGAACCCTCTACACCCAAACCCAACCGTTAAAGGAACCTTTATAGGACCCAAACCCAACCCTTAAAGGAACCTTTACAGAACCCTCTACACCCAAACCCAACCCTTAATTAAAGGAACCTCGAAGCTCTCTCTAGAACCCTCGAAAGAAGGACGCTCGAACTCAATGCGTATCAGCTGCGGGCTCGAGGCGTCGGTCTGCCGCCTCTGCCTGTATCGGAGAACCCTAAAGTGATCCCCCTCACCCCTGGGCTCCTTTAGGGTTTTGGGGCTTGGGGGCTAGGGTTTAGGGTTTACTGTAGAGCCGTGCCTTTTACAGGGATATCCGGCTTCGGTTAAGGAAGTGCCATGTAAGGCTTTTGAAGATGCTCATGAACTCTTCTGGGGGTTTGAGCCCAAAAACCCTATTCTGACTATTAAGGCCTACATTCATTTTGTTGAGGTGATTTCTTCGGCTGCTTCAGAGTTTCGGGGTTTAGGCACAGATTTCCACCGCCTTGGCCGTCAGGAGTTACCTTCGCAAACTTCGGCTGGGACAAACTCTCCCAAGAAAACCTCGAAGACATAAATCGAAAGCCCCATAACAAAAACCCTAAACCCTAAACCCTGGGCCATGAAGCCAGGTTTGGTGCCTCAGCACCGCACGGGCCCCTCTAAGCACAAAGGAGCGCGGAGGAGATGGGACTCCCAAGGCACCGAGTACCTAGACTCAGACGCCGCGCAGGTTGTCGGAGTTCGGACTTTGGGTATCGGCCCTGTGAGCTCGCTACCATAATGGTTTGCGGGTTTAGGGGTTATAGGGTAAGGTTTAGGGTTTAGGGGGTTAGGTTAGGGTTTAGGGTTTAGGGACATGATGAAGCCGAGGCTAAAGGAGCAACAAGAGTATACTTGCCGTCATTCGAAGCCCAATAGACATCAATGCGAAGGATGATTGGGAACTCAGAATCCACGACTTGCAGCTCAGGATTTGTCGGCTTGAGTTCAAACCTGCGAACAACTCCAGCACTCGTTGGTGTTTAGGGCAAAGGCGATTTTCACCCTCCTCCTGCTGCTACTACTACTACTACTACTACGACGACGACGAGCACGGCTACGACTGCGGCTACGCACGACTGCACCTACGACCTACGACTACGACTACGACGACTTCGACGACCACGACGACTGCTGGCGGTACAATTACTGCAACCACAACTGTTACGTGCTACCGTTCCGCCAATACTAGTGGCACTTATATCAATAGAAACACGCTGTATGGAAGGAACGATTATTGCACCACTCGGCAGTCGACAACGGTGACTCTCTCTGACAGTTGCCCTAAACCCTCAACCCTAAACCCTTAAACTCCCTAAACTCCCTAAACCCTCAACCCTAAACCCTTAAACTCCCTAAACTCCCTAAACCCTCAACCCTTAAACCTAAACTCCCTAAGCTCCCTAAACCCTCAACCCTTAAACCCTAAACCCTAAACCCCTAAACTCCCTAAACCCTCAACCCTTAACCCTTAACCCCTAACCTGCCTAAACCCTAAACCCCTAAGCTCCCTAAACCCTCAACCCTAAACCCTTAAACTCCCTAAACTTCCTAAACCCTCAACCCTTGAACCCTAAACCCTAAACCCCAAAGCTCCCCAAACCCTCAACCCTTAGAGGATGTCGGGCTTTCTCTGCCGTCCTAGCGGCCCCGGGTTGCCACCTGGAACCCACGTCGCTCAACTGCGCGAGATACTAAACTTTAGGGGCCGGTTATACCGAGGTTTAGGGTTTAGGGTTTGGGGTTTAGGGTTTGGGGTTTAGGGTTTAGGGATTAGGGGCTGAGTACCCTAGCCCACAAAAAGTTAACCTTTTCAGTTATGGAAGGATTATATACACCCCAAAAGGTTAAAGGTTACCTACTCAGCCACTAAGTATATAAGGAAGGGCTTAGGGTTCAGGGCCTGGAGTGAAGGATTTAGGAACTCTAGGGGGCAGCGATAGATCGACCAGTGTGCTAGTTGTTTTATACATTTGTTGCGGGGTTGTGGTAGGCTTCTCCTAGGTCCTATGAGAAGCAGTGCTTGAAGATACCTCTGGTTAAGGCTGAAGGAGAAAGCTTGACACACAACTGAAACAACTACATGTTTCATACTTCCATCACGCCCGGATCCACCTGCGTCTGTATCAGCTCGGACTCATATGCGCCTGCTGGGGCAGGGTGTCGGTTCTCACTTCCCAGACGTCTGGATTCGGGATTCGACTCCAATGTGGGGCTAAGAAACATCTAGAATGTCGGCGTAAACCCTCCGCAACCACGGCCTTATGGTTATCCACCAAGACTACAACCTAGGGGTCTACACAGGGTCGAACGGCCTAGGGTTCAGCTCTGAGCAGTGCAGACATTGCGAATACATGTTTCGCGACACACAAATCTTGGCCTGTATGTCTAGAAGCATAGCTTTTAAACTTACACAACGGTATATGACAAGTCCAGGAAAGCCATAGATGACTACCTATAGTCTCCATTGTAGTTCCTTTTTTAGGTTTAACCAATTATATATTCAGGATTTTACAAGGTATCCCCAGAAAGGAACTACAATGGAGACGATAACTAGATCCCCTAGATGATAACGATGACAGCAGCCTGGAAGGCTTGCACCTTGTCAGGTCTGAAGCTCAGTTTTATTGGTATGATTACGATTAATATTGGTAGTCTTACTACAATTCGTCTTGTTGTTCGTATTATCATAGTTGTAATATTAATACTAATACTGTTCATATTTTTGTTGTTTAGTATTAGTATTATCCCTCCTGCCGAAGCCTCGCCCCAGGCGCCGTGGCCCGTGGCGCAGAGCAGCAACTAGCCGCCGCAACTCCGCCCCCCAGGGCCTGAGATTGATGTAGGTCTTTAGGGGTTGAAGTGTTTAAGCCTAGGGAACTTAAGAACTATAGAATAGGGATTGATTTAGGGTATCAGAACTCGGAAGTTCAGGATGTGCTTTGAGCTTCTTCTTCGGAGATGAAGAGCTCTACGCAGCGAGCTCTGAGCCAGAGACAAACCCAAAGGACCTCCCAACGGACCCCGCCCAGCACAATCCGAGCTGGCAGTCTTACCTAGGTCCTGGCTATGTAGTTCTTGGTTTGGACCCTGCATGTCTTCTTAAAAAAGAGACCCCTTGTAACCCACCCACAAGAAGGGGCAAGCGAACCAAGGTTCTACTGGTACCTCATCACTTATGGCTTGAAAGCATCTGCGGGCCTCAGAATGCGCTCACGCCACCACGGCATGTCAACGCCCGTGCCGCCTCAAAGCTAAAGGAGCTTGTGGCGAGGCTTTCGGGCTTATGGCTTATGGTTTCTATGGTTCAGCAGTTGGGCGAATGATAAGAAGAAGACGAAGAAGAGAAGACCAATAACACGACCAACTGTGGAAGAGTACTCAGAACGACGATTGGCTAATAGAAAAACTAATCATGAAAACACCAACAGTAATAGTAGTAACAGCAACAATCACAATAATGATGCTCGGCTTTGGCCCTGGGCTTCTAATATAAAGGCCTGAATATCTAGAACAGGGTTTGGGGGCCATTATACTATAATTATAAAAAGGAACCCCTTCAAAAGTAATATTGGTAATTATTTAGGCTTCCATATTAGGGAGTCGGGCCTGCCACTGGCAGGACTTCGGAGCAACGGACTGCGGATGGGTTTTGAAGAGTCCACCTATAGTCTCCATTGTAGTTCCTTTTTTTGGTTTAATCAATTATATATTCAGGATTTTGCAAGGTATCCCCAAAAAAGGAACTACAATGGAGACTATAGAGGTAGGGGCTTTATGGGCTTGGGGCGCTCGGGTAGTTCGACTGGCTTTCATAACTTGTGACCGAAGTGAAGCGGTAGTTGCATGGAGTTTACGGCACACTTCTGCGATCCACTGAGTTCGAAAGCCCGCATACTATATGGGAGTTGCAGAATAAAGGGATCTCCTACAGAAACGCTTCTACAACCTCACTCAGCAGCCCTAAAACTCCAGACACCGCGCCTCCGTTCGCCAGCGCGGCCAGCGTTGCAACGCGCGCGCTTCCCAGCGTTGACGGTTCCAGTAGTCCTGCTAAGGCTTTGGGCTTTGAGCTTGTGGTTTTTCAGGTTCAGGACTCCGAACTGCACACTGCTAAATGCATACTTATGAAATTCTATGTCAGTTCCTCTTTGAGTAAATCAGGACTTCGGACTGCAAAGGGCCAAGGGGCTAGGTAGGCTTAGGGGCTATAAGGCTCAGGGACTTAAAACTTTACAAAGCCAGCTCTGCGGTGTGGTTGCGGCCGAGGTGCTGTCTTCCAAGGCTGCGGCGTGCCGCTGTACAACTGCCTGGACAGATAGGATTTAGGGTTTAGGGTGTAAGCACCACGTTCACCCTCACCCAAAAGAATACCTACACCCACCAACTACCCTCTATGGTGGACCCAGTACTCACTATTCAGGACCACGCATTGCTTCCGTTCAGGGGTCGGTGCAAGCCGAAAAGCCCCGAGCCAAGAGCTCGGTTATAGGCTTCCGAAACTATTTGGCCCAAGTCATACAGGCATCCCGGCTGGGCCTGATGAGGGTTTAGGGTTTAGGGTTTATAGGGTTTAGGGTTCAAGGGTTTAGGGTTGACGGTTCGGCTGCACATGTGCTCCGGTTGCATTTTCAGGTCTAGGGTTTAGGGTGACATGTACAACAGGTTACATCGCTTGAGCTACGCTAGCAGAGAAAGCTCCCTCCAACCTATCCCCTAAACGCTAGACCTAACCCCTAAACCATAACCCTAAGTTAGACCCTAAGCCCTAAACCCTAGACCCGCATCACTTCACCGCCGAAGGGAAAGAAGCAAACTCGTAGACCATCGTTAGACCCCACGATCTCGGAAGTCCCTGCGGGTTCGAGAGTTGAGTGCTCGAGGCTTAGGGTTTCGGTTTGGGGTTTTTTATGTGGGGTTTAGGGTTTAAGGCTTACAGGGCTTTGGGTTTAGCACCTAGGATTTCAGAATTTAGGTCCCATGCCCCCCCGAAACAAGGACATTTTCCAGAATTACTAGATAGGTAGCGCGGCTTGCCGTGCTAGTAGCAAGCCCAACACAGTTTGCAAGATCTGGTAACCCACTACAGGTAACTGCATATACTATTGTATACCATCGAACAAGGGCTTTACGGAGTCGGAAATGTCCTTAAACACCAGACCATACCTCAATGGGTCGTAGGTTCAAACCCGCCAAACCCCGAACCATAACTCCTCAGCCCAATCCATGTGTTCAATACATACTTTATTATTACTATTCTTATTATTAGTAGTATTATGATAATATATGTACGGCTCTGTTCAAATCATCCCGTGGGCCTTGGTAAAGGACTCTTCCCGGAGTCCCACAAGAGTCTGCAGCATCCTCCCGCAAGTCTTAATCGGGGTCTTCAAGGTTTAATCACTGTCAGCTCCAAAAAACCCTAAGCAAGCTTTTGGGTATAACGGTATAACCCATTCCGTTTCAATTGGTATAGCAGTGATGATGGCCCTCCTAGCCCGCGTGATGCAAAGCTCTACTTTGCCAAGTGGATGCTACAAAAAGCCATGCCAACAGGTAGTTTTCATTAGGCTGTAGAGGGTTTTACATGGGTTCAGGAGAGTTTTCGGGGAGGAGAGCAGGGAGGGATTTGGGTACCCATCCACGCAGTTACAATATGACTTATTAGAAATTACCCGAAGACCTGTCGTATGGGGCTCAGCCCATGAAGTTGGCCTTCGTCAGGCAGCCCCGTGTCAAGGGATTTCTGAGAGCTAGGGTTCAACGGTGACGCAAATACCTACTTCCCCAATAAGGCAGGGAAATAAAAGAAAGGTTAAACTTTGAGATTACTACTCAATTATAAGAACCCAAAAAGTTTAAAGGTTGGGGCTTGGGCAACCTTTCAACAGGCCGTGCCCTGTTTTGAAACCTCTAGATATGGGGGTTTCCGAAAATGGGGGACCCTAATATAGTACCCTAAATAGCAGGATCCATATTATAAGGACCCCAAAATGAGGTACCCCTTATTTTCGGAAACTCCCCCTAACCTCCCTAAACCCTAAACCCCAACCACGATATCCCGTCCTGGCAAGCTCTGGGCCAGGCGCAGCTTGGATCACCGGGCCTGCGCCGCTGGGAAGAAGCACAAGAACGGCTAAAGCCTTTTTATGGCTTAGGGTTTAGGATTTTCAGGGTATAGGGTTTAGAATGTTTAGGGTTTAGGGTTTGGGGTTTAGGGCTAAACCCTAAACCCACGAACGGCTCAGGCGTTTTGCCTTCGAAGTCTTCCGAACGGGTAAGGGCCTAGGATGGCTAAGGGCCAAGTATCCGACAGTTTTAATCCAGAACTGCCTATACATAAATCATAAATACACACACCCCCAAATTTAATGAGTCCCCACATGCTTCCAGGGACCTCCTTAAGAGGTCTAGGTCAGTCGTATCCGCCGTAGTAGACGGTGCCAGCTTCATCTGAAGTCCGGGGCATGGTTGCTTAGAGATCCGGGGGCTTGCATTGGGAGTAAATCTATACATGTCTATGTGCATACGTATGTGCGTGTACTTGCGTGTGTTCTTGTGTTTGCATGCATGCGTGTAAGGATGTACGTAAGATTATGTGTGTATACGTATGTACATGTATAGGAATACAACCACCCTCACTCACCCTTCCCTCAAACCGGAAGGCGTCGTCCAAAATGACGCGGCCATTCTTGACATCTGGAAGCATCTCGCGGGCACGGGCTAACATATGGGGCTCCAGGAAGAATCGAGCGAGCTCATGTGGACCTACACCCCGACCATTGTATTTTCACAGCGCACTTCGTCATCCGACGAGCAGCAAATTTCGGGCAAGTAGCCTGCAGGAACCAACCCTCAAGCCGGCCTTTGAAGACCACAACCTTGAAGCCCAGTACCGTGGCCCAAAAAAGTTCAAACTTTTCTTTTAGTAGGGGGTTTAATATACAAAAAAGTTTAAAGTTTACCTACTGGGCTCCTAACACAACAGAGACATGGACTGATTCCACAACATCTATCTTGCTTACGTCCGGCTTGGTTGGTGCTAGTTTGACGAACACACCTCTCTGAATCCTAAACGCTAAACGCCTAAGCTCAGCATTCTGGAACCCCACACCCCTCGACTTACAAACCCACCAAACCCCTCATGCCCCATCGCCGAGAGCCGTAAAGCTGTGGAGCTGCGCCCCGAACCCCAAAACAATGCTTCCACCCGCTATATCCGGACCCCCGCCTCCCCAAGTAAACGTTCATGGAAGCCCCGCGATCGTTCTGATAGAATTTAGAGTTCAGGGTGATGGTGGCTGGGTCCAGGTAATCAAAAGGTTCACAACCTACTACTTTGTGGAAATTGGCGCTCGGGTTTAGCCTCATGGCCAGAAGGCTGTAATAGTACTGCTAATATCGGGACAATCGCAGTTGTAGTAACAATCGCAATGGTAGCAATAAAAACAACTGCAGTAACGGCAAGAACTAGTAATACCAGCATTGATACTGTAGTACCAATAATAACACCAGTAACAATAGCTGTAACAATCACCTGTAGTAGTCGATCATAGTACTACGTGATAATAGCCTGCCATGTGTGCGGCCGTCTCCAGCAACGCCATGTTTCGAGCGAAGGGCGAACGCCTGGCTATCGGCGACTACGTTGGTGTGCAGCGAACCGCAGAAAGTTGGAACATGGTTTAAGAGGATTAACGCAAGGATCCCTTATACTTTACCTAACGGGCATGAGGATAATAATGTTCCAGCTTCGTGGCTTCTACTTTAGGGCCTAAATGATTCAGGGCTTGAGGGCCTTCTAGGCTTAAGGGGTTTAAAGTCTAAGATGTGGAGGTTTCAGAAAATAGGGGACCCTAGTATAGCACTCTAAATAATAGGATCCTTATTATAAGGTCCCCAAAATAAGGTACCCCAATTTTTGGAAACTCCCATTTGGGGATCCTAGTTGCTGAGTTCACAAGCCCCGAAAAGTGTACACTTTCAGTTCTATAAAGGGTCGTATTATCCCAAAAAGTGTAAAGTGTACTCACCCAGCTACAAAGAGATTGGGGTTCAGGAATTGCATTGCCATCGGGCTTCGGAAATTCTAGCGCCTAGCCAGTCTTCCAGTTGCAGAGGGCGCAGTTTGTTCCAGCCTCAGGACTAAAGACTATGGAACCGAACCTAGGGCGTAGAGGAAGAGCATGGGGGCCTTATAGTAGTTAGAATATGGTTTTTTGGGTATATTATGCTATAGTTATGGTAAGCAACCCCAAATAGTATTGACATCTTGGTCATTATTTCGGCCCCTTATATGTTAACAAAAAGACGAAGCCTTGGTCTGGGATCGAACAATAAGTCAAGAGAAGCTAAGAGGAAAGCGGGGATGATCCCCACGTTTGGGTTTAGGGTTCCTTGTCTAGGGGGCCTGAATAGGGAGACTTGGGCGCTGGGGTTTTGAGCTTCAAGAGTGCATGTATGTATGTATGTATGTATGTATGTATGTATGTACGTACGTATGTATGTATGTATGTATGTATGTATGTATGTACGTATGATCGTATGTATGTATGTTGATCGTATGTATGTATGTTTGTATGTATGTATGTATGTATGTATGTATAATTATGTATGTGTAGAACCTAAACTATCTCAAGCACCCAAACCCTAAACCCTAAAACCGAACCCATCATGCAGGCTCCGTGCCTCAAGAGCTCCAGCAGCTGCGGCAGCCACGTCTGGGGGGCGGCGGCTGCATCCTATGCTCAAGAGCTCTCTGAGAGTTGAAATTTAGGGTGTAGGGTTTGGATGTTTATGGTTTATAAGGCGTAGGGTTTAAAGGTTGTTTTAAGGGTTACTGGGAGGGGTCTACGGCTTTTTTGGTTGTGAGGCCTTTCTGGGCCTTAAAGTTACTAGGGGGGTTTTTGGGCTTGTAAGGCTTGAAGGTTTGAGGGCTTTAGAGCTGCGCCCGGGTTTAAGCTGTTTTGGCTTATAGGAGATAGGATTATGGGAACCCTTGGGGGTATAGACCCTCTCACTGAGGTCCCTTTTAAAAGAGCCATAAGTAAGGTGAAGAAGGGTCCCCTTTAAGGGACCTCCCTTATACTACCTGGGAGCTGAAGGGTGGGCATTCGTGGCTTTGCGCTGGGGCTGGTCATCTCACGCCTGATGGGGCGCAGCGCGCGCCACGGTGGCGAGGAAAGCGCGCCTGGCTAATATTGGCTAGTGACGGTCAAGGGTTTAGGGTTTTAGGGTTTATAAATAGGGTTGAGGGTTTAGGGTTGATAATCTCTGATCCCGCGATTAGATACATCCCTTTTACAGAGTTTGACCTAGTTACTTTATCTCAGGATCCTTCAAACAGGCTCCAGGGCGTCGGAAGAGGCTCGGCTTCGCAAAATTGGGGGGCGTAGCTGGAGATGTGCTCTTGAACTCTCTGGCGTTTCCAATCAAGTGTTAGCTTGGCCACCCCTAGAAACCCTCAAACCCTAAGCCCAACCAGGGCAAGGGGCCACAGAGTCGGCCGATGTGCCCGATTCATAGCCATGGCATCCATAGTCCGGATCAGCCTCCGCAGCAGTTTTACTTGGCTTTCAGTTTGCCGGGGAAAAAATTAATTAAACCCCAAGCCTTAAACCCTAAACCCTAAAACCTCTGAGCCCTAAACCCTAAAGCCAAGACCCTATAAGCCCGAAGCCCTAAACCGGGACTCCCAGGGCCGCCAATCCAAAGGCCCCACACGAGCCCCAAAACTCAACCGGGTTTAGGGTTTAGGGCTGATGCGAAAGCAGTACCTGCAAATAAGTGCAGTTGAACATAATGGTCATTAGGGTAAATGGTCATAAGGTAGAGGGTTCCTTTGAATTGAAACCGCAACCCGTCTGCCGGAAATCCACCGGAACCCTGGATCCTAAGACCGAAGTCGACATCCTGAGACCCTAAACCACGACTTGCTGCAAGCTCCTGATTCGGATTTAAATACCAGATACTGTAGGGTTCGAATAGAGTTTTGGGGTATAGAATACTATAAAAAATAAGGAAACCCACCAAAATAGTATAGGTAGTTATTCAGGCCCCTATATTACACGGCTTTGGAGAATGTTATACTGTAACTACACAGGGACGATACAAACACACGATTACAAACTACTCCAACCCCTACAGTAGGGACCAAAAGGCACCTGACCAAGAATCATAACGTTGGGATACCTCATAATCCCCTCTAAGTACGCCAATAAGGTAGGAGAATCCTACCCCTCAAAGTCTTTTTGGGTATTCGGTTCCTGAGATCGTCCCCAAACCTGGAATCCCTTAACCCTATCTCCCTGCAGCCTAAACTCTAAAGCCCTAAACTCTAAAGCCCTAAACCTTAAAGCCTAAAACCCTAAAACCCCAAACACTAAGCCCTAAACTCTAAAGCCTTAAACCCTAAACTCTAAAGCCCTA